GGGAACACGTAGATACGGGGGTGGGGGTATTGACCAAATTGTACACAAATATAAATACTCTCACGATTTACATTATTCAAAACAGGCGAGGGGATACTCGGTTCCGGTGAGGTCTTACATCTAGAATGATGAAGTAAATATACACGCCAGATAAATATAGACATGTTTTATAAGTTAAAACGTTTACTGTCATTAGATGTTTAAACTGTAGTCGCGCCGAGTGTGACGTCAACATGGCATAGATGGATGCAGTCTATTGAACGTATTGCTCAAAGTAGCAACCGTAGTAAATCTTTAAAACATTACTTTTATTGAGGAACGCTACACTTCAAAACACGAGCAACTCTATACGATGATTATTTTTTATTTTGTAGTACGTCACAGGAGCGTTGAGTCCCTAGAGGGCGCAACTTATAGGGAACGTCATCGATTTGTATTCGACCGGAACCGATTTTGTTTCTATGCTTTAACACTATGAGAAGCTTTAATGCAACCACGTGTGAGTGTTGCCTGTCAACACGTGGTCGTACTGCCTGGGACACGATGTTGGCATGTGAGACTAACCTCCTCCGGAGATGAGTACGCTGTTGATAAACTTACAACTTAGAGAAATTTGACCTCTAATCCTGAAGGGGGAAAATGTACCACACGTTTGGTTTCATTAAAACTGCATAGAAAACATATTCGTCAGGGTGTTATAAAATGTACAATTATATCCAAATTGTTCCCTTTTAGTTCATTTCCGTTTATAGAAAAAAATGTAAATTACGACATCGCAAACAACATCATGTTCTATAACGTGTTAAATTCCAATAGCACTAAACACAAAGCCGACACGTAATTCCATAATCTGGTTTTCCCGAGTACTGTAGTTGAAGTTTCACATCTTTCACTGACACTGTGAGCAGTGAAGAGTTTTTTGATTTTTTACAGGTCTTGAGAAATCCTGAAATCGAATTTGGAAATAGCTTCTAAAATAAAGTAAAGCGGCATTGTTTGATTATAACAATTTCGGCTTCAGTGCTCTAATAATTAAGAAACATTTAATCTTGGCTGGCAAAGATGTCGGTGGTGCGAATACGAGTTTAATTTGCAGTAGTTGGGACGCTGGGACATTTCAGAGTAGCCTTCAAAAGCTGGGCACTGAAAATGAATGGGTCATCTTAATTAATGTAGTTATTCTGTATGATACCTTTTCTTCACAGTACCAGTATTGGCGTTTGTACCAGGCAGTTTTTTTTTCAGTGGTTCGTATTTTGCCGAATTAGATATTAGTAAAGTATGTTATTGGGAAAGTCATTGGAGCGACCAATGGTTCAATAGCATCTCCAGAACCATTCAAGCGACAGTAGAAAGTATTGTTGTTTATGTCCATAAACGACCGGAAATTCATAAGAAATAATTCATAGGAGTAAATTATACATACATAATTTTGTCATGAAGATCATGGTGATTACATTTTATTTATTCATTAATTCAGTCAGTATTTATCGGATTAAAGATGCATATCACCCACTCATACAATTATTCCTATCAAGAGGACCGGGCTCATTCATAGAATCAGAAAAGAGGTAGAACACAACTTGATCTTTTACGAGCACTGAGAATAAGAACAGAACATGGGACTCATTAATTATCGTCATATTCTTCTGAAATGTTAAGCGCGTCTGTGTTATATTGATAATTTGTTATGTGTATTTCGTTATAGATGTGTGCTATGTATATGTATTGTCGTGCAACGAAATTTTTTTATAAGCGGCAAGTACAAGTAGTTCCTGGGTATGATATCGATTATAAACTGTCATCATAGATAATTTTGCTAATCTGTAATGTCGCCAGCCAAATTAGCTAAACTGCACTATCACCAATTCACAATACAACCAAATTAGCTGACCTGTACAATCTTCAATTCATGAAATAGCTAATTTGTTAACCTACACCGATGTCCATATCAGCTAATAAAGCTTACATAAATCATTGCCTTATCAATGCTTAGCTAATTTGCTAATTCGCCAATTCAGATACAGCTAATTTATCTATTTTATACCATCGCCAATTATAGGCACGGCTAATTTAGCTATTTTATACCATCGCCAATTATAGGCACGGCTAATTTAGCTATTTTATACCATTGCCAATTCATGACATAGCTAATTTATCTATTTTATACCATCGCCAATTTAGGAACAGCTAATTTAGCTTACTGTACTATTCAGGGCACAGCTATTTTAGCTTACTGTTCTATTCAAGACATAGATAATTAAGCTATTTTATACCATCGCCAATTCAGGCACAACTAATTTAGCTATTTTACATCGCCAATTCATGACATAGCTAATTTATCTATTTTATACCATCGCCAATTCAGGAACAGCTAATTTAGCTATTTTACATCGCCAATTCATGACATAGCTAATTTATCTATTTTATACCATCGCCAATTCAGGAACAGCTAATTTAGCTTACTGTACTATTCAAAGCATATATAATTTATCTATTGCCATTCATAATTCGAGATACAGCTAAATTAAATAACCTATGTCGTCACTAATTCAAGGCACACCTAATGAAGCAAACCGGTACGATCGTCAATTCAAAACAAAACAAACCTGAACGTACCAGAACAAGTCAATACACGGCTAATTCAGTAAAATTTGGCGAGTATGTCAAATATCTAAATGGCGGTCTACCCAACTAAAACAAGAAAACGGGTGTGTCGTGTTTTGCTAAATCCCAATTCTAATATTAACATTAGCATAGTGGTGTCCGCCACAAAGAGATACCAGCTACTTTGAAAACACACTGCTCGGATATCGGAGAAGGATTACCAAGAGTGCGGCAAAATACCATCTGTTCTTCTTTCAGAGACCGATCATACATTACATTGAAGGTCAGGCCCGAGGTCAGCCTCGAACAATTTTGGAAAGAGAGATAGGGGATCTTCTAACCATTATGTATTTGGAATGGAAAGTTTCGAACAAAACACACTCTGACTGTGGTCACGGATTTGCCAGTACTCCCACGAACAGTTTATAGGTATTTGTGAATGCTTGTTTGTAATCTAAATGTTGCGGTGCATGTCTCTATAGTAAAAACAGGTTGTATTGTATTGTGATATTTTTGCCGGGTTATCCGCTGTATGTGGCTTTCAAAAATCCTTGGCCAAAAAAATAGATCTTATTTCAATGACATTGACCTTTCTCTAGACTGGCTTCAATTTCCTCACGATAAATAATTAAAAAGGTCTTTACAAAACTTCATGATGGTTTCGCGTAAACATCGTCATTTCTCAAACAAGTCGTAAATTTTGAGGCTAGTACAACTTTTAGATTTATAGTGAAACAAAATCTAATCATCCCAACTGGAGCCAGACTAACTTTCCCCGTCCACATCTAGGTGTTATATAAAGGGGCCTACGTGGTAGGATTTCACTATTATGTGAAGCACACGATTTTTTTTTTTTTACAAACAGTGACGTACAAGTTGGCAAATGTTCAGTACCGAGAGCTCTTCTCTTATGCGCCCCGTGGTTCGTGTTATCTGATGGTGTCACTTGACAAACTAGTGCCGGTGTCATAGGTCATCAAACATAGAGTCTGTTCTGTATCTGAACGCTGCACGCGATGGCATAACTTCACAGAGTGTTCACACTGTCATCCGCTGTCATCATAGTAGATGGGAACATTTCCCACATTTTTCGTCCAGTCTGCTGTCAACAATGATAAATGTAATCGACGGATTGGCAAATCTGTACTGTTTGAGCTAGGGAGCTTCAGCTCTTCCCCGTCTATCGTTTCCCATTGATGATAAATTATTGAAGCATTCTCGGGTGTCATTCTATGGTCCATACAGATGACCTCCTCGGTGCATTGAATTGAATGAGAATTCACATATTTCTAAATGTGTTGTAATTTATATTAAAACACACGCAGAACACATCGACGAGGAGAAAATAACCATAATAAATTAGACATTACAATTGAATACATGCTTGTTCTATAACCTTATAATTAATTATATTACTTTATTTTTGTTTCACCTTATGTTTTTATTTTTGTAGCGCATTACTAATGTATTTGTTTGCATTTTGTAATATGTTTTTGTTAGATTTACTAACATTGTGATAACCTATTAAATCAGGCAACTGGGATACGACTCAAGTTACTTGCTAGACTTTTAATCCACCGTTACCAGTCAGTGTCCAAATATTTACGGGAGTGTTTCATATTCACGATGTCTATTACGGATGTGCGCGCGCAGCTAGCTTCTGTATGAGCTCCTCCCAGTCGTATTACATACGCTTCATTCCCGCCTCGGCAGACCTGTGTCTGACTCAGACTGATACAGAAAGAAGACATGTTACGCATCAATACATACATGCTTGTTCTACATTTCTTACATATTTACACGCCGTAATTTTGCAAATCCATAAAGTGCACGTTCACTTTCCACAATAATTTAAAAAATATATTCCGGATATCCGGCTGTTGAGCGAAATATTTTATATTTAGGAATAATTTATTGGCGAACGATAGTTAAAAAAAATAAGTCGAAACTTGAAAACAAACACACTATTATTAGCACGTACGAGCATAAATGCGTTAAATGAAATGACAAAGACCTAGGCATTACAATATATTAATTTTCACGTCGGCTCTATTGTGTTCTCTGTTGGGGTTATGCCCAGGCGACGTATGATAACATCTTTCAGGAAAATATAGTTATAGTGCAGCATATGAAAAAACTTGGGAATCTAGTTCGCGTAGTATATCTGATAAATGAGCAAATATCTCCTACCACGACGATGTTAATATTTGAACTGTTATAGTAAAACGCGCAATAGCTGAGAGCAAAGACAAAGGAAATTGGCTGACAAAGAACGTTTAGGACTGACAAAACGATAGGATTTCCTAATACCGGTGAGTGCGGGCGCACACAGTTATCCGCGAAGCGCGTAATGAAAATAAACCTACACATGCACATCCGGGCTTTCATTGTTAGATCGAGCTCAATGCTTGTGTGTGTGAAAATTGAACAGTGCAATCTATCATCAAAAACGGACAGTTATCATTCATAGAATATTCTTCAATTTTGCTTACTTATTTTACATCGTGTCTCAACAGTGTACGCCGAATTAAGCGGTAACTGGTGGACCGATACGGTATTTACAACGCGATCAATACAGCTGTGGAGCGAGCGTGATTTCACATCTGTTTTGTTGTACACTGCCGAGTCCGAGCTCCGTTGTTGTTGAAGATGGCGACTAAAGAAGTGACGATACCGGGACTCGATATCAGTTTCCTGACCGAAAAGAACACACAACAGGACTGTCTTACCCTCAAGGCGAGAGAAACTAATACAACGGAACCCACCGATCCAAAGGAAAACGTCGTGAACGGTCAAGATGAGCCAGACAAGGGCGAGGAAACGAAAGGAGATTCGAAGGTAGGTCCACATAACCACAACGAACCAGCGTACATAGGGCAACTCTAAACGTTCGGCGATCAAACCATCTGTCGCGTGCAACGTTTGTAATATCTTTTCGATTACTCGTGCAGTACACCAGTTTTGGCAATATCCTACTATTTTGATGAGAATGATTTATGATTATTTTTCTGACAAATGGTCTGCTTAAAAAAATGTCCACGGCAACACATGTGGGATGCGATGCACATCCATATGTGAAGTACACTTTCGATATCGCATGGTGGATTTCCCTGCAAATATTTACACGACGAATGTATTTACGAGTGATAACCTGATTCAGTATTATACGTAGTTTATTGCCACTGAATATTTGTCGGTGTCTGTCACAGTTTGCGGTGCGATGACTGTGAAACACTGATATATGCACGGTAACTAGAACAATGGCCATATTATAATACTGTTCTTGCTGTTCAGTATGACAAGACAGGAAGTCGTCATGATGTTATTTTTTTTTACTAAGAGTGACTTTAAACAACACGAGTATATCCAATTCAATTTTACTGATTTTACTTTAATATTTTGTGAGGTTATTCTGTAAATTGTAAAAAAGAAGAAGATATAAATAATTGTTGTTATATATTCATATGTAAATTTTTTGAGGAAGTACAATATTGCATTACTAGTAATAATAATCCCACAATATGTTAGGTACTGAATCTGAATGGCATTTGTAAAATGGCTGAATGACTATGAATAGTTCCGTGTTCGATACTGTCTTGCAGAGGTCAATAAAGTGGTTTGTTGGAAGTGAATGAAAAGTTCACCCTAGCTTGTCAAAGTGCTGACACAATACCCCACACAGATGGCTTTGTCTTGTATTGGAGGGGGGGGGTAGTCAAATGTGTGCCATACAAGACCTGTCTTTGTTCTGTAATCAGTGCTCTCCACCCCTATTGGTTAACTCCAAAGGTTCCCCCTATATCATACCAGCTAGTGTAAATTTGGTTTATTCCAGAAATGTGGTAGGGGTGTATGTCTAGTGTGACTAGTAAGCTGAAGAGCTAACCATTCTCCACGACACTACTCAGTAGTAACACTCAGTTGTGTTATCGTTTTTGATACTGAACTTTTAAATTCCTTGGAATGGCAGGTGAAACCAATTTTAAGCTATTAGCTGCAGCACTTTGTTATCTGTCACAAAGAAACAAGTCTTGTTTCAGAAGGACAATAAGTATTCCTTGATATCAAGGAAAGCCTGTATTTGATAGATTTGTTTATATTAGGGCTTACCTAGTACCACATGATTCAACCAACTGTCAGTCTGTGAGTGAAGTGTGTGGTTGTTATAAAAAGTGTTGATATTGTGGAGATAAAAGAAGTCATGTACTTTGCCTTTATTTTTTTTTTAACAACCACTAACAGGCAAGTACTTCAAGAGCTTGATAATAGAGTGATCTTTTACGACCCCATGTTTTATTTGGCAACCATAACAATGACATTTTGACAAGCAAAAATGTGGTAGTGGATGTACCTATATCTATTCGTCTCTGCCCTTTCTATTGTACTGTCTGTCACATAAACATAGGTTTGATTATGATTTCTGTCCTCTGTACACCCTCCTGACACGCTTTACTGTGACTTCTTCCCACCTATACATTGTCCACAAAGTTATCATAATAAAAACATTCCTAACTCTATTCTTTGCGCAAACTGATGCCATATTTCACGTTGTATTGCACGTGGCTGGGGTCTACTGGTCTTTTAAAAAAGCAAATTGGTCACCCAACTATATTCCAGGACTCGCTGCAGTGTGTGTGTGTGCTTTCTTAATATACAGTGGTCTCATTTTCAAATTAACAAGCCTTACAACGAGACACTTGAATCTGTACAATGTGTTAATGTTGATATAGGTTCACCTACACAGATAAAAACATGGCAGGGGTCAACGTATAATTTGTCTGCTGACACAGTGCAGTGGTGGGTGTCCAGCACAGTATATGTGTTCTCCATATCCCTCCCACCAACTCAAATTACATATTCCATGTTCAGTTTTGCACATATGTATGTGACCCTGGCTACTATCGGTAGTACTTAGCTGCTCTGTGATTTGTATAAAGTCTTCTTTGCAAATATAGGACGATGTGAAGTAGATATATCGAATGCCAGGGCATAGTAAAGAAGCTCTATTGTTTGAAAGTATCCCAAGACTCAGTCACTGCTGAAAGTAAAAGAAATAATAAGGGCTAGTATGAATGTTTACTGTAGTGAATTACAAGTAAGGTCGCAACATATACAATATGGCAGCTGAGTAGAATTGACCATGTCATATTTCAGCAGTATACATGTACATTTATATTTTATGACTGAAAAAAAAAAAAAAAAAATTTGTTTTCAGTCTGCAGGGCTGGCTTTATTTCCAATCTCTTTCAAGGTCAGTTATTTCCTGAGCTTAAGATGTCTCAATATTCTTGGCTGGTAATTTCTGAGTCAGTAGTAACACCTTGGATTCCCATTGTGTGTTATTCAGCGTTGAGTGGAACATGACAATGATCAGCTAAGGGATAGCCGTCCAGACGTTATACAATGGCTCTGTATTTTTATTTTAGAAGGCAATCAAAGGTCATTTTGTTACACATCAGTTGACAATGAAACAGTTAGATTTATAAACAGACATGAGTATTTGTATCGAAACCATCTCAGGCTGGATGGTTTTATAAAAAAAACCAGAATACTGCCCAGTCAACTCACTGGCAGCCATTTTGAATTTCTGAAATGACTTCCAGTAAGGAGGTTGTATATAGAAACCATACCCCTATCTTTTTAAGTCTGGCTTACTATAAATAAACTGTTATTGTTAATCAAATTTATAGCCCTCATAAGTTTTACTTAGAAGGGGGGCTGAGTCCCCCTTACCCTCATATCCCACAATAAACGACAAATGTGAGCAATTCCAATTCGCCAGATGGTTATTGTTATGTCTTAAATTTGGTGGGAACATTTATTTTGTCACTATTGTCATAGATATGTAGCTTTAGTTTGTTGTATTATTGTGCGACAGTGTTGTCTTTGATCGTGATAAGATATGGGGGTCGGGGGCTGTGACCTTTCAGAATACATTCCAAGCTGGTTTACGCTATATTTATTTTAAACAACTTACAGCTCCTCAAACTTGAACATAACCATGTATATAGACTGTTACAATTGTAACATGCCAGTATGGTTTCGGCTATCGATTGTTTCTTGCACTGGGGTAGTCAACAGTACCAACCATTGTTATCTCGTTGCTGGGCATGAAAAAGAAATAAACTCCATTAAAACAGTCGGTTATTTCGCAGGTTAGGGTGTGAATGGGTAGCTGTCATATCGGGGGATATCCCCTCTCTAAAGACTGTAAAGTTTGTTTTGTTAGTGAAGTTTCATTCTGCTCAATTACACCTAATACACGTCCTTTATATTAGTAATAACATTAAATAAATTCTTGATTATGTCGCGCGCAGGCTGCTGCTGGGTCACAGGTGTACCACATTATTGTTATCAATGAATTCCGACGTATGTTGAACAGCGATGTGCTATGTATTGTGGTCTCAATATTTTGTGTTCATGTACTTATCCTCGTTCTCATTAAAAAAAAAAAAACTTCAATAAATCTTTAATTAATATTTAATTTTTGTGGTGGACTGGAAAACACGACATACGTAAGTGCGTTTGTGTAAAGAATAAAATAGAACTTATTTATAAAGAAATGAATGACTTTACTAGCATCGTGCGAAAAAAAGTCATGTTCTGGCAGATCGGATAAATTTATTATTGAAATTTCCAGTCCAGTTTTAGGAGTTCCCCTCTGTTTCCTGTGTAATTTTCAGTTTCATTTTATTAAAGCATTGTTTGTATTGATGCTTGAATACCTCTGAATAAAATAAAATATATGCATGTTTTTTATTAATTTCCGGGTTTAATGGCAGTTTTTGTTAAGTTGTCTGCTACCAACAAGTCTCTTTACATGTTTATGAAAGTATCTCATTCTGTTCAGCAAAAATTAATGTTTTTTTCCCCTATCATAATGAATTCTTGTTAAAACAAGTATTTTTGATGTTTTGTCTCTGGTTGTTTTAGTTATATTTTTTCCTTTACGATATTGCCCATATTAATTAATTAGTTTTTATGGAAACAATAAAATAAAGTTCTATTAATCTATTCATTTCATGTTTTTACTATTAAATTTAATTACCAATTTTTTTAATTGACATTGGATTGTACAAGGCTTTTTGCTTCTCTATGATGGATGTAAGTAGAATAAAACAGTTTTCGCCTCTTAAAAAATGTTCAATAAAACATGATATTCTCAGAAATTAGGATAAAATATTGACAAATTTTGATGATGTGATATGGCTACTGACTGGGAGACATTATTATTCATTAGTATATGCTAGCCATATCTGAACATCAGTAATTCACCTCCAAGCCCTGGAAAAAATAGTACAGTCGCTAATAATATTTTTGTTTTGTCTATAAGCTTTTTGAAAATTAAAATAATTTGCATTTTGTTGGCCGTGAATAAATGACTATTACGACTATTATTCAAGCAACAACCATGTTTGGTTTGCACTGATTTATTTATTGGAATGTAAGTCTCGGATGGATCTATGTAGTTGTTGTTCAGTAAGACCTGTCTATCATCGTTTTATGTTGTTTTTTACGGCTGTGTTCTAGGCTGAAATACTATGTAAGGTTGTGGGAGGTGAAATTGACATCCTCATTATAGCTTAATTAAGAGTAACCATTAAAATGCTATTCATCTTAAAGTAGTTGGGTAGACCACCGAATTTACACGGCACAAATAACGAGTATCTTTTGTGTGGCACTTAGTCGTAGAACATGTCCAGGACTCTATTGTTGTTACCTTTCCTATTGTTACGGAGCTCTATCACCTAGGCGTCCAGTGCTTTCAATTCATACTATGTTGGTAAAATCAAAGAGGTCGTGTGCCTCGGGTGTTTGGGGGAATAATACCAAACGCA